ATATTATAAGAGTAATGTTAATATATTAATAAATAGTGATGTATTGTATGAATAATATTAACATATTAATAAATATTGATATATATGAGTAATATTAATATATCAATAAATATTGACATATTATATGCATAATATTAGTAGATTAATAAACAGTGATATATTATATGAATAATATTAATATATCAATAAATATTGATATATTATACGAATAATATTAGTAAATTAATAAACAGCGATATATTATATATGAATAATATTAATATATTAATAAATATTGACATATTACATGAGTAATATTAATATGTTAATAAATATTGATATATTATATGAATAATATTAATATATTAATAAATAGTAATCCACGACAACAATAATATAAATATATTATTAAATAATAATATATTGTATATACGACGTAAATATATTAATAAATAATAATATATCGTGTACACAACATAAATATATTAATACCAATAAATCATATAAATATACGGATAAATAGTGAAATATTCCACGAAATATTCCGATGCTCTACAAATTTTCAATTTCCACGTGGACTCGATGTGCAGCATAGTAACGCAAACAGGAACAAATTTTGCGAAACGCAGGTTGCAGAACTTCCCGCGTCGGGTTGCACGAATTTTGAAAGCGGTCTAATTGCGGCGTCTTAATTGTAATTATTCAAGCCTCAAATCCTCAAATGAATATTAACACGCTCGCGGCAACAATTACTTACGAGATTAATTGAAACGCGTAACACTCGATGACGTCGCAGGGACGTCGTATACTCCGGAATTGCAAAACGCAGCTCGGGCAACGTTATGGCGATTTCCATGAATAATTGAACGACTAAATCGCTCGCGATCCGGGCCGGTGAAATTGCGCGGGAAACGGAAGGATTCGCCGTCGGAAAAAAGGGGACACTGGGGTGAACCGGACGACGAACTTGGCGGACGCCGTGGCACGGAAAACGATCGGCACGAGACCGCGGAGGGGAGACGGGGGGCAAGGAACGATCGGTGAACGAAACGACGACGAATTTCGTATCGAAACGAAGGCGAATTGAACGGCGCCGATCTCGAATCCCAGCTCCGTTTCGAAATTTCGGGTCGGCTGTAAACCGCGAAAACAGCTGATAATCGATCTCGTCGCGGTTGCACAAAGAAACTCGCGCGCATTGTTTACGGCCGCGGCGGAATTTTTCCTGGCCGGGCCGTTGTTCACAGTCTGTTTAACCCAATAATATTTTTTTCACGGCTCGCAGTACGCCCGCGGAAGATCGTATCCGTGGGCCCCGAAGTAGGGCAGCCTGTTCTTGAGCGATGCGCTGACAAGCGTGGCATAGCGATCGCTGATCTGCATCGTCGTTCCTTGGGACCATTTCTCAGAGCCCCGCGAAACGAGCATCCGCCGAGAGAAACATTATTACAAGTTCTTCTTTACAATTCCGATCGATCGCGGTTAATTGCAGACGTTCTTCGCTCTGATTGCCTAGGGCGAGTGTCGGTATTACTGCGGACGCCCCAAATGCTGCGGTATTTTACGAAAGCGATAAAATCTAACGATTTACGGTGTGCAAACTTCTAGAAATGGATCTCGAAATTTTTTGTACGTTTAATACTGATACTTTATGGCGTACAAGTAACAGCGATTGCAGTTTCAATTTATTTATTAACTTATCGCATTCGAAAGTTTACGAAAACGTCGAGTCTTATGAAATACTCGCAATGGCAGCTGTGGACGCTGATTCGAAAGGCATTTGTATTTTGGTGATTAGTAAGAAACTGTTCATTTCGGCGTTGTTTTTAGATAAAGTAATCATTACTTTGATAAAAATAATTGACGTACACCGACACTGCCATTTATCCATAAATGTTATTTATTCCTACTTCCAATTGTCAACAACTATAAAAACGTGACGCAAGGCTCGAATAATCGGTATCTCCTCTTCCTAAATTGTCCATTTCTGTGTACAATCTGAGCGTCAATTAGGGAGAGTTTAAGCCGTTTCTAATTCCAAGATTCCATAAATGACTCGTTCCTACTTTGTCTGATATAAACAGTTACAGCTTTCCGCGTGCTGTGACTTCGAACAATTTTTTCGACGAAAATAAAATATACAGAGAAGAAGTAGACACTTCAGGCTTCAAAATGAGCTAAGTTTCATTATTATACGATTTTTTTTCACAAAGTTACAGCTGTTCAAATATCAACAATTTTCTCGAAAATTCGAAATTTTATGTAAAATCTAGAACGATGATTCCCATCGGTCATATCATAAATCAATTTTTTTAAAAGAAACTAGTTAACAGCTTCTGAAAGTAGACACTTCGGGCTTTAAAATGAGCCAAGTTCTATTGTTGTGCGATTTTTTTTCACAAAGTTATAGTTGTTCGAATATCATCAATTTTTCGAAAATTCGAAATTTTCTGTAAAATCTAGTACGAGGATTCCCATCGGTCATATCATCAATCAATTTTTTTAAAAGAAACTGATTAATGGCTTCTGAAAGTAGACACTTCGGGCTTTAAAATGAGCCAAGTTCTATTGTTGTGCGATTTTTTTTCACAAAGTTACAGCTGTTCGGATATCATCAATTTTTCGAAAATTCGAAATTTTACGTAACATCTAGAACGAGGATTCCCATCGGTCATATCATCAATCAATTTTTTTAAAAGAAACTGATCCATGGCTTCTGAAAGTAGACACTTCGGGCTTTAAAATGAGCCAAGTTCCATTGTCGTATAATTTTTTTGCTCGAAGTTATAGCTGTTCGAATATCAGCAATTTTTTCGAAAATTCGAAACTTCGCCGAAAGTAGTAAACGGCTCGTTTTAGTTACCAATCGCCAACAACTATGAAAACGAGCCGCAAGGGCGGAATAATCGTATCTTCTCTTCCCAAATTGTCCATTTTTGTGCGCGATCTGAGCGCGAATTAGGGAGTCGCGCGAATAACCGAGGATCGAAGTGAACGTCCGATCGAAAATTTTCGAGATGCCTCGAGTTTTATAGAGGACGTTCCGGCGGCGGGGTGTTTCGTAACGAAGCTGGCCAAACGGGACGTGCAATTGGACGGGAATTTAATTGCCGGAAAGAGACACTTCCCTTCGATCGTAATGGGCATCCATCAGCGATCCAGCACGGTGCAGTGAACCCCCTAACGACGACGACTTAAATCGATGGCTCGGATCGAACCGGTGAAAGGCGAGGTCCCCCGAGCCGTGTGGCACGCGTGTTACACAGAGGCGATTTTCGATCCCGTCGAGGGAAGAAAACGCGTCGAATGCCACGCGCGGCCTTCCGTCACGCTCCGCAGAAATCGAACGCAAACGTTGATAAATGGAGATGCCCGAGAGCCGATTGCAGAAACGCCGAGCGGAAAATAAGCTAAGCGTCGCGCCGTCGGCGACTGTGGGTCCGACTTGGGAATAGAGAAATGCTCGGTCTACTAGGCTACACGAACGCGAATGTGGGACGGAAAATGTAATCGTGTTAACGTGTGGAAACGTGGCCGAAAGAGAGCGAAGAGATCATCGAGAAACGCGAGAATGATGGTTGCGGTGTTCGAGATAACGGAACAGGCGCTAACTATGCGAGATCGGACTGGATTGTGTATCAAATGACGTCGATCTCTTTGAGACGTTAAACTAGGTAATAAATAATAGGTAATAAATAGTTTGCTAGATGTTTGTAGAAGTTGCAATTGGTTGAAACGATAAGAAGTTTGGAAAGTTATGTTTTCTTGATTTTTCGAACTGAGCTTGTAACGAAGAAGATTTGAATACTTCTTTTAGTAATCGTCTTTTAAGTTTTTGTTATCATTAGAACCAATTTTTGCTCAAATCTTTTAGTCATTGTTGAATAAACTAGTGTTATTAACGATTGTAACAGTATCGAGCCTAAAGGTATCTAATCAAATCTAACAGTATCTCATGTCTAAAGTACCTACTCAGTCCTAATAGTATCAAGTCTAATTTACCAAATTGATTGTAACAGTATCAAGTCTAATTTACCTAACTGGTTGTAACAGTATCAAGTCTAAGGTACCTAATAAGTACTAATAGTATCAAGCATAAAATACCTAATCAGTTCTGACAGTATCAAGTCTAATGTACCTAATTATTTCTGACAGTATCAAGTCTAAGGTACCTAATCAGTACTAACAGTATCAAGTCTAAGGTACCTCGCCAGTTCTAACAGTATCAGACCTGAGGTGTTTAATCAGTTCTAACAGTATAAAGCTATCTAATCAGTTCTAACACAGTATCATATCTAAAATACCTACTCAGACCTAACAGCATCAAGTCTAATTTACCTAATTGGTCGTAATAGCATCAAGGCCAAAGTACCTAATCAGTCCTAGTAGTATCAAGCCTAAGACACTCAATCAGTTCTGACAGTATCAAGTCCAATGTGCCTAATCATTTCTGACAGTATCAAGCCTAAAGTACCTAAACAGTACTAACACCACCAAGCCTAAGGTACCTAATAAGTTCTAACAGTATAAACCTTGAGCTACCTAATCATTTCTAATAGTATCAAGCCGAAGGTACCTAATCAGTACTAACAGTATCAGGCCTAAGATATCCAATCAGTTCTAACAGTAGAAACCTTGAGCTACCTAATCATTTCTAACAGTATCAAGCCTAAAGTACCTAATCAGTACTAACAGTACCAAGCCTAAGGTGCCAAATAATTTCTAACAGTATAAACCTTGAGCTACCTAATCATTTCTAACAGTATCAAGCCTAAAGTACCTAATCAGTACTAACAGTACCAAGCCTAAGGTGCCAAATAATTTCTAACAGTATAAACCTTGAGCTACCTAATCATTTCTAACAGTATCAAGCCTAAAGTACCTAATCAGTACTAACAGTACCAAGCCTAAGGTACCAAATAATTTCTAACAGTATAAACCTTGAGCTACTTAATCAGTTCTAACAGTATCAAGCCTAAAGTACCTAATCAGTACTAACAGTACCAAGCCTAAGGTACCAAATAATTTCTAACAGTATAAACCTTGAGCTACCCAATCATTTCTAAGGTACCTAATCAGTCCTAATAATTTCTATCAGTATAAATACTAAGCTACTCAACCAATTCTAACAGTATCAAGCCTAAGGCACCCAACCAATCCCAACGACCCCAAAGCGAACAGGTACCTAATTCCAACGTCGCGCAATTTAACAGCGATTTAACAGATACCAAACTCTTACAATTTACATGAAAACAGACAGTTACCAACCCAAATTCAACGCCATCGAAGCCAAACAGCAGCGAACGTAACAGTATCGTGCCCGGCCATAAAATCCAACAGGTCGCGAGCCTAACCGAGGCATGACGTGACACGTTCCACGCTTCGTAAAAAGTGTTCCAAGAGTCTCGCGTGACTCGCGGCAATATAACAGCGGCTTTGATCGTGAACAAATTGGATGATAATTGGAGTGTTCACTCACCAATATTCAGACTGAGCACGAGCCTCGTGCGAAAGATGATAGGCGGGCCGTCGGTGGCGTCGCGGCGGCGGCGGCGCCTGTTGCGTTGGGCCGGCCACGCTGTGCCGGCGCAGGTACGCATAGTTCTCCAGGTCCCACGGGTCCACGTAGTGCCTGCTCGCGCTTCCGGAGCTGCAAGCGTCCCCGGAGCTGCCGCCGGATGTCGACCGCTGGGAACCCACCGAGTCCCAATATATCGAGGACTCTGCCGGCATTCTCATGGCGGGACGGGACCAGCCGCCTTCCGGTTTCACCCTTTTGTTCGACTGTACGAATCGGTTCGATCGAGCTTATCAGAACCGTCGACAGCGATCGCGATTGTTCCCCGATCGTCGATCCGCCTCTTTAATGGCCCAGGAAGCTCCCCTTGCAATGAAACGTTTCTCAGATCAGCTGACAAAAGTTTAGGATATTTTGAGGAATAATTTGTCATTTTTTTTTCACACGATGTTGCCTAAAAATATAGAAATCGACAGTGTGTAATATCGAACATGTGTGCATGCAACGATCCTGTATTTGTTACATAAACCATCTGGTTTATAGCATTGATAAATAGTGATATATGAATTTATTATATGAATAATATTAATATATTGATAAATATTGACATATGACACGAATAATATTAACATATTAATAAATAGTGATATATTGAATTAATATATATATTAATTAATATATATAATTATATATAAAATATAATATATATATATATATTTAAAACTTTTTTCGAACAATGTTGCCCAAAAATATTAGAAAACAACAGTAAGTAATATCGAACATATGTGCATGCAACGACCTTGTGTTTGCTAAATAAACCACCTGGTTTGAAGCATTCATAAATCAATCAATAAATAATATAGCTGTGGAACAACGTCCGGCCATCAAAGACACGTAGCTAGGCAAATCATTTATTTATCTAGAACTCGCTTTGCAACTTTCTATCACTGGATTTATGAGTACACTTTTGAATAATCTATTGGATAGCGTTGCTTGTTGCTCGATAGAAGGCAGCTGATTTACTCCGTAAATCTTGCGTTAAGTAGATTTGTGACATTTTAGGACCTTTTTGTGCAATGACGTTCGGATCGAGAAGGCTCTAAGCACTTTGCAAATAAATTTATGCTAGATCTCGTTTTATAATTTCTTAAATAATTCCCAAACGTATTGGAAATTTTCAAAAACAATGTTCAAACGTCTCAGCAGTAGTTGAAGTGCCAAAAATTGATCTGCAAAACATTAAAAGTATCTAATAAACGTGGTCAATTATGTCGAAAAGGAGTTCATCGAACACAGAACATTTAAACAATTTTAAAATGCCGTTGCATTATATTCAACTGAATAAAATAATTGAAGAACGAAAGCAGGCAACTTTTATTTTGCATAAAAAACTCCGCAGTCTAGATATTATTTTCTTGCAACGAATGCGGGCAATTTTTATTTTGCATAACACTCCGCAGTCTAGATATTATTAAACTAGTCTAATTATTATAATTTTTATCTCGAAATTGTACAAATAATTTGTCTCGTATTTTAAGTTCAAGTTCAAGGTTAGTCGAAAAAGTTACGAAACAGCAAAGCGAACGATATAAAAAAAGAATATAAATAAATCGCTGCAAAAGTCCAGTACCTGCGATCAGTGTCTAGCAACATTCCACGACATTTCTCGTCGGACAGCTACAACACTGCGTGCGAAACCACTGTTCCCGAAGCGCGCGAAAATCCGAGATTCGTAAATCCCGACACGGTCGGTTCGTGCGCGCAGCGATCAGGCGAGTTTCCGGTTGGCTCGAAGAGGCGCATAGCGCGCGGCGCGACCACAATTTCGCTTCTGGATCGGTCTAAGCAGGTACCCGCGCGGTTCACTGTTCTCCTCTCCTACTACCGGTCGCAGGTGTGCACGCCGATCTCCTCGAAGACAAGTGAAACCGAAGACTTTCACGCCTGCGCCACCGTCGGCCCCACCTTCTCCTTGGGGGCTGGTGCATCATGCCGTTGCACCGTTGCACTTGCAATCGTTTCTACGTCAGCCGCACGTATCGATGACCATTGTTGGATAACGAGCAACGGTACCGGGAACATCGTGTTCCTAATCGGCACTGCTGGCTGTCACAGATCACGATCTTGTGCCCGATCATCGGCGATCATGATCGTTCGATTGTATTTATGCGATTTATGAAAGGCGGTCTGGAATTTGTACAGTGAAATATTGATTTAAACTGGTTTTATTTATACGAGATTTAAATCGTAATACATACATGATTATGATTGACATTAATAGAAGTATCATTTCATTGATTTTAAATGAGGCTGGTGTTATCGATGATGTAAATTTTTATTGCGAAATTATATTGTGATCAAGTAAACTGGTAATAATAAGCTGGTTTTATTGCGAGATTTAAATTTTAATGGGTATTGATTAGGATCGATTTTAATAGAAACTTGATTTAATTGATTTTAAATGAGGGTAATGGTATCGGTTAAAAAAATAAATTTGTATTATAAAATTCAATTATACCGAAGGTTTAATATTATATTTGGGTAAAGTGGTTATATTGTAATATTAATTTTCAATGTCTGTTTTTCAGGTTGATAATATTACCCCCGTTTAAAGTCGATTAAATAGAATTTTTATTAAAAATTAATTGTGACGTTTTTATTAAAATTTATTAAATTTCAGTCAGAATAGTGATACTCGAAAGATAGCAATAATGTGAGAATTATTGCGGTAGTACCCGAAAGATAGCAATGGCGTGAGAATTATTGCGGTAGTACCCGAAAGATAGCAATGGCGTGAGAACGGCAGCAAGAGTAGATAGCAACGATGCCAGAAAGACGGCAATGGTACCCGAAAATTGGCGATGGTACCCGAAAATTGACAATAGTACCCGAAAAATGGCGACGGTATCCGAAAATGACAATGGCATCCGAACGATGGCAATGGTGTCTGGAAAAATAGTGACGGTACCCGAAAAAATGACGATGGTACCCGAAAAATGACGATGGTACCCGAAAAATGTCGACGGTGCCCGAAAAATTGTAATGGCACCCGAACAATGGAAATGGTACCTAGAAAAATGATGCCGGTACCCGAAAAAATGACGATGGTACCCGAAAGATGACAATGATACCCGAAAATTGGCAATAGTGCCCGAAGTTTCGTTCAAGCACCCGAAGTTCCATTCAAGTGCCCGAAGTTTCACTCGAGTGCCCGAGTTTTATAATCGATGTGCAAATGTTATAAACGGCGGCCGAAGCATTGGAAAGCGTATCTAAATGCAACTGGGGTAGGCTAGTCGCGAAGGAGCTTACGCGACTATTTGATTTCCGCGGCGGAACAGGAGCACGATGCCAGCCGGCGTATTGCACGCATTCGGCTAGAAAGCAAGAGGGACAAAGAACTGTGCTCGCTTGAATGCATTGTGTACCGAGTCGGAAGAAAGTGCACAAGGATTCCGACTTTCTAGCCGGTTCGATTTTCGACTGGCCGGATAGCTGTGCGTCATGAATATTCATCGTGAAGCGAACGAAACGCAAAATCGTGCGACTTGAGTATTTTCGCAGCTGTCGGTTACGCGTGTCCGCGATTACGTTTATCTTAACGGAACGGCCCGATAATGATGGCACAAGAGACTCGATGACGACGGAACGTCGCGACGAAGATGGAAACCTCTGTCGATTCTTTGTGCTCGGAAACATTTTTATCCGACTAATCGGTGCCGAGTAAAAATCGTTCGAACAGCCAATCAATCGTATCGCGTTCAACACGAGCAGCGTAAATTGCAGCGTTCGCATTACAGTAAATTCTCTTTAATTGACGCTCAGATTTTGCAGAAAAATGGTCAATTTTCTATCATTACTGTATGCCGTTTCTAATTCCAAGATTCCATAAATGACTCGTTTTTACCTTGTCTGATATAAATTGTTGCAGCTTCCGGCATGCTATGTCTTCGAACAATTTTTTCGGCGAGAATGAATTATACTCGGTAAAAGTAGAGATTTCAGGCTTTAAAATGAGCTTAGTATCGTTGTTCCACGATTTTTATTCACGAAGTTACAGTATTTTGAATATCGTCGATGTTTCGGAGGTATTAGAAATTTCGTGTTAAGTCTGGAACGAGGTTTCCCGTCCACTGTGTCGCGAATAAATTTTGTTAAAGAAATCGACTGACGGCCTTCGAAAGTAGACACTTCGGGCTTTAAAATAAGCCTAGTTCCATTGCTATACGATTTTTTTTCACAAAGTTATAGCTGTTCGAATGTCAACAATTTTTTCGAAAATTTTGAAACATCGACAAAACTACTAAATTGTAGAACGAAGATTCCCATCCATCGTGTCGCAAATAAATTTTGTTAAAGAAATCGACTGACAGCATCCGAAAGTAGACACTTCGGGCTTTAAAATGAGCCAAGTTCCATCATTGTACGATTTTTTTGCACAAAGTTACAGCTGTTCGAATATCATCAATTTTTCGAAAATTCGAAATTTTCTATAAAATCCAGAACGAGGATTCCCATCGGTCATATCATCAATCAATTTTTTTAAAAGGAACTGGTTAATAGCATCTAAAAGTAGACACTTCGGACTTTAAAATGAGCCGAGTTCCATGGTCGCACGATTTTTTTGCACAAAGTTATAGCTGTTTGAATATCGACAATTTTTTCGAAAATTTAAAACTTCGACGAAAGTAGCAGACGGCTCGTTTTTATAGTTACCGATTGTTAACAACTATGAAAACGAGCCGCAAGGCTCGAATAATCGTATCTCCTCTTCCCGAAATTGTCCATCTTTGTGCGCAATCTGAGCGCGAATTAGGGAGAAATTACTGCGTTCGCTTTGCTGTTGTTTTCCGCGAGACTTACGACACTCGGTCCATCGGTTTTTTATGAAATAATTGATGCAATTATACGGCGGCGATCGCCGTTTCATTTCTTTCACGACGCAATCAAATTCTAATTGATCTCGCCCGAGGTGTATTACTCGGCCGACGTAAACCGCGGAGCGACGCGGTATCACGTTCGGCCGATATAATTAAGCGGAATCAGGTTGACGTGCGTTTCTTCAAAAGGCCAATGAAAGTTTCTATTGCGCAATCATCCCGCGGGCATAAACGTTTGGACCGTTCATAGAACTAACGAGCTATTGGAATGTCGTCACCGTGGTTTTTTGGCCGGGCATTTTCAGAACCGTGGCCGTACGTTAGCGAACAATTCCGCGGCGCTGGGCGACGATTTATGGATACCATAAGCCTGGGAAAAAGCGTGCCTTTTTCCTCGTTTCGCCGCTATGGAGCAAGAGATACGTTCAAAAGCGGTAAAAAGTCCCGTCTCGTAAGTGTTCTCAATTTAAAAAAAATATATACATACTTTACAGATGAAGAAATATTGAAACAATGTAGTATAATTTTGTTCTCAATTTTATTCGTTTCAAATGAAATAGAAAATTATTATCGTACAGCGTACTGTTGTTTCTTCGAACTATCTATCGGAACAATCTTTATTCTACATGGTAATTTCGAACGGAATAATTAATACGATTGAAATAATTGGTGCCGATTTATTCAGAAGATTTTAACTGCGACGTAATGTTCTTAATCGTAGACTTTTGNCCGAAATTGTCCATCTTTGTGCGCAATCTGAGCGCGAATTAGGGAGAAATTACTGCGTTCGCTTTGCTGTTGTTTTCCGCGAGACTTACGACACTCGGTCCATCGGTTTTTTATGAAATAATTGATGCAATTATACGGCGGCGATCGCCGTTTCATTTCTTTCACGACGCAATCAAATTCTAATTGATCTCGCCCGAGGTGTATTACTCGGCCGACGTAAACCGCGGAGCGACGCGGTATCACGTTCGGCCGATATAATTAAGCGGAATCAGGTTGACGTGCGTTTCTTCAAAAGGCCAATGAAAGTTTCTATTGCGCAATCATCCCGCGGGCATAAACGTTTGGACCGTTCATAGAACTAACGAGCTATTGGAATGTCGTCACCGTGGTTTTTTGGCCGGGCATTTTCAGAACCGTGGCCGTACGTTAGCGAACAATTCCGCGGCGCTGGGCGACGATTTATGGATACCATAAGCCTGGGAAAAAGCGTGCCTTTTTCCTCGTTTCGCCGCTATGGAGCAAGAGATACGTTCAAAAGCGGTAAAAAGTCCCGTCTCGTAAGTGTTCTCAATTTAAAAAAAATATATACATACTTTACAGATGAAGAAATATTGAAACAATGTAGTATAATTTTGTTCTCAATTTTATTCGTTTCAAATGAAATAGAAAATTATTATCGTACAGCGTACTGTTGTTTCTTCGAACTATCTATCGGAACAATCTTTATTCTACATGGTAATTTCGAACGGAATAATTAATACGATTGAAATAATTGGTGCCGATTTATTCAGAAGATTTTAACTGCGACGTAATGTTCTTAATCGTAGACTTTTGTAAACGATCTAGATAGTGCGTTAATTTAATTTATTGCTGATGGAAATATGTACACCAGGTACGTTTTCGAATCGTTAGTTAGTTGGTCGTTTTATTTTTGTTCAGGCGGACAAGATCTGAAAAAAAACATCTCTTTCCACCGGTTTCCGAATTGGGCGAAATTTCATTACGATCGTATCCACTTTTGCAAATATTGCAAAAAAAATATATATATATATAAATTTGTAATAAATATTCAATGGTATTCGATAACTTAATCGGTGCTGTACGTTAATTAGTTGTTAATTGGTTTTCTCAAACACCGACGTTCAGTAGTCATTAAAAAGAAATTAATGAATTTCGTTGCTTGATTTTTAAGAAATGAAAAAGAAGAAGAACTGGATTTAAATATACGACTATATTTATATGTATATACAACTATATAAATATATATATAATCGCAGGTACAAATGAAAGAGTCCCGGTAATCTCCTTACGTATGTTTTATTTGTGAACATCGAACATTTCCTCGGTCCGTCACGGAGACCAAGATATACACATGCTCCGCTTTGTCCCGAATAACGCAGTCACGGGAACCTAAGAGTAAGAGGGTTCGGGAAATAGTCTGACTTCCGACAAATAAATTAGGACTAAAGTTAACGGGGTTACCGAAGGGGGAACACGTTTGTTCGATCGGTTACGTTTTTTTTCCTTTTGTTTGTTTGTTTGTTTGTGACACAGACTACAATCCCACCGGAACAGAACTCCCGTCCGTTTAATCTCGGTCGTGCGACACAGACAACGGTCGAGATGCGACCGTTTTGTGCGCGCTGAAACGGGTCCATTGTTCCCCGTCGAAATCGATCTGGCCGTTCCGCGATTGCAACAAGAAACGCCGCGACCTCGGCTTCGCCTCCTCCGTTTCCATCCGTCGCGAAAACGATCGTTTTAAAAAAATAGTCTCTCGAACGATCCGATAAAAAATAGCAATTCTGATTAACCGCGACGTTTCTTGTTACCGGCGTTTTGCGACGGCGCGGCGCCGGGCGCGATCGTCGGGAATCGATTACAGGAAGACGAAACGATGCACAGCCGGGGGGGAGGGGGACAACTTTTTACAGTCTATTCGGGCACGATCCGATGCCGTCGAGAAGAACGTTTTTTGTTTCGGACTTCGTGTCGTTCGGCTCTCCCGTAATCGGTTTGCGAAGACGCATCGTTTGCGGGGACTCGGCGCACGGTTGTCGTTTTGAACAAAGAAGCCAACGTCGGTTTTCGTCGCCCCGTGGACGTCGCGAGTCCTGTACAGCCCCGGAATTAGGCGAAAGACAATCAGCACTCGCACACAGTCTAGCTTACATCTTAAACTCACTCGCTAAATCGGCTATGTACACTCCCATCACGCGAATACATTCTACTCGTCGGCCTACTCCCTAAAAAAAGGACAACTCCCCCCTATCTACCTCTGACAGTACCGCCTAGAGCCTTTAGTAACGCATATCACAGTTACAAATTGAATAATCCGTCATTTTACACGTTCACTTTCCGCGCGGCACAAGTTTTCCCTTCCCACAACAGTATCGAGTTTGCGCCGTTTCGTTGATACAGCTAATTCTACCTGAAAACGTCCAGGATTCCGCGCAAAAATGGACAATTTCGGAAGAGGAGATATACGATTATTCGAGCCCTGCGGCTCGTTCTATACAGAGTGACTCGAAATTGTACGAGCGAGAAATGGGAGATTCCTGAGATCGTTTGAAGCAACTTTTTCCTCAGCGAAAATGCAATCCGCCGCTTCGTTTACGAGTTATTAACGAAAAACAGTGACCAATGAGAGGCGAGCTCGGCTGGCGCGAGGCGGTCCAGTCCGCGAATCCCAGATCCGCTGATTGGCGCGGCCGCTTAGCGCTAAGCGAGCTCGCCTCTCATTGGTCACTGTTTTTCGTTAATAACTCGTAAACGAGGCGGCGGATTGCATTTTCGCTGAGGAAAAAGTTGCTTCGAATGACCTCGGGAATCCCTCATTTCTCGCTTGCGCAATAATTTTGGGACACCCTGCAGTTGTTGACAATCGGTAACCATAAAAGAGTCGCAAGGCTCGAATAATAAATAGTATCTCCTTTTCCCAAATTGTCCATTTTCGTGCACAATCTGAGCGTCTATTAGGGAGACTTTACTATACTTCGAAGCCCTATTGTATCGCGATTCGACGCTGGAAATGCAATGAAATCTCTCTAATTGACGCCTCGGAGTGTGCTAAAAAATGGACAATTTCAAGACAATTCGCAGCTGTTGACAATCGGTAAATATAAAAACGAGCCGCGAGGCTCGAACAATCGTGACCCCTCTTCCCAAAATTGTCCATTTTCGTGCGCAATCCGAGCGTCGATTAGAGAGACTTTACTGTACCGAGCAGTTTGAGCCACCCGAATTCGAATCTACCATAATTCGCTTTGAGAACGGGTTCGCTACAGATTTCAATTGACTTGGCGTTGTACGATGCGTAATAAATAATCTAGAAAATAAATTCCCACGGAAACATTTTCTTCCACCCTTCTCGTAATTCTAGCGTCGAATCAACGAACCGTCTCGTTCTCGCGTACACATTCGAACGGAGCACGTCTGACAACGCGAAAACATTTTCACAGAAGAACAGAAACTGGACAAATTTCCACCCTGAGGAACGTACGAACCAAAACAGCTAAAAAACATATTATCTCTAATTATCGAAAATGAATGACGTGTGTGTGTATAGGTGTGTGTGTGTGTCACATGTGTATACATATATGTATGTGTGTGTTCGTAGAATCTTTCGACCGGCAGAGTTCGGACGTCGGTCGTCGATCAGACTTTTACTTTCACGAGAATCGAAACCGCGTGGCCAGAGCGAAGTGGGATCACGCGGAGGAGCGAATCCTCGTTGTGACCCGTTTCGTTTCCGGTCACGCAGGCCCTAATTACGGCCGCGTAATTATCGACAGGTTCCGGTCGTTGGGCGATAGCACATTCCTAAAGTTTCATTTGCGCGAACGAATTTCACAGCGTTTGCCTTTCGTTACGATCCCAGGAAGACGCTCTCCGATCGTCGATCCTATTTCTCGTCCGTCGACGGCGGATCATCGATGTTCGTCAAATTTTCGAAGAGGCATTCGAATATGTATGAAACGTCAGAGAACGGGCCGCGCGGGGCCCCGGATCCGCCGCCGAGGCTCGCTTACAATTTAAATGGAATACTGTTACGGTACTCGCGCCACAAGACGTGTCAGCCGTCTCTGTACACCGGAAATGAATGAAAAGTTTTGTTCACCGCGGCCTGGAACATGATAAAACGGCAGAAGAAACTGTCAATTCGTTTGTTTTCTTTTTTTCTCGCTCGGACAACACACGCAACGACAGAGTATAATACGACGCGTTAAAAAAATAATACGAACAATCTCTCTGGAAATTTTCGACACCCACCCCCCTACTCCTACACGCTCGAAAAACGCATCGCACGCCGGCTAGAAAGCGACGCATCGCGCACGCTCGTACACGCGACGATTCGCTACGGAAAAGCTGGCGGTCGTTCTCTGGAATGCAACTTTTTTTTCGCTATTTTATTTTACAGGCGCTTCTGAAATCGAATTTTTGCTTCGACGGTCGACTATCTCGACTCGCGACAATTCTTGGCCGACCGTGCCGTCCCGATTCTCGGTGAAGCTCGCCGATTTGTAGAGAGCCAGAAGGGAACGCAACCGGGTGCCCCAGGTTTTTGCGAAGCTCCGCGAGAATCGTGACGGGCCGGTGTTCGTGCCGTTAACGTTCTATGTACATCGTCGTCGAAAGAAGAAAATAAAGATACAACGTCCTTGCTTCGTAACCGTAGCCTCGTTTGCGCGCGCGTGTATAGCTGCCGCTTATAAATATAGAGTTCTATACGTGTCGACGCTACAGTTATTTTACAGTGTGTCCAGTAACAGCGACGTCCCCGCTTCACAATCGGTCTCATCTAACCTGGTCCAGCAACAGGGACGCTGCCAGGTCCACGTCGTATTCGGTCCTCTTCAGAGCACCCTCGCACTCCTGTCTGCCCGCCAGTCCCAATCTGTAATAGCAACATCAAGTTTCACTATCACGGTGACAATCGAAACCTTGATCAGTCGGTTCGATTAATCTCTAAACAAAGTGAAATGGACAGTTTGGGAAAAGGAGGCTCGAATAATTATGTCTCCTCTTCCGAAATTGTCCAGTTTCGTTTATAAGCTGAGGGACAATTGGAGAGAATTTACTCTATTATGGCAAACCCATTACATTCTCTCTAATTCGCGCTCGGATTGCGCAAAAAAATGGACAATTTGAGAAGAGGAGATGCGATTATTTAGCCTTGCGCCACGTTTTTTATAGTCGCCGATTGTCAACAACTATAAAAACGAGACGCGAAGCCAGAATAATCGTATCACCTCTTCACAAATCGTTCACTTTTTTTACAAACTAAAGGAAAATTACGGAGAAATTACTGTGCATTCTCCCCCTGTTCAAATTCCACAGAACTTCCGGTTTCCGGTTAACTGATCTTACACGGCCGCAAGCTGTACAACAAATTTACCATATCGCCGTCCAGCGGACTTCTACAGAACTGAATTTTTGGGGAATTTCAAATTTACAGTGTTGCCACAATCGGCGCAGATTCTACATCCTATGACTGCTGCATAATTCCGTGGAATTTCGCTGATCAGTGCGAGCTTTACAGCGTTGCCACGTAACGGGCAAATATTTTGACAATGCAGAACAATTATTTTGATTAATTTTACACAGTGTTGCCTCGTGGCCCTCGTTCGAATAGATCAGGGGCCGAGAAATTTAGCCGCAAGATTCTCAGTTAGGCAATAAGAAACACGGCGAACTGACCTAACCAAGGACTCCACCTTGGCCTGCCTGTCCTTGAGGATCTGCTTGGCGGCCTGGTTGGTGTCCCAGCCGGTGGCCTGCAACGCCGTGAGTATCTCCTGCTGGGAGGCGTCGCAGGTCTCCCTCTGCACCTTCATCACTTTGCTGGCGCGGAATTCGTCGTTCAGAGACATCACCAGCTGCTGGGACGGGCCGGTTAGTGGGGGGCTGATGCCGGAGGGGTACGCGGAGGTGGATGGGGCTAATTGAGTATTAACAACGGTCTCTTTCATCTGCGGGATCGCGGCGCGCACCGTGGGGGCTTGTTGCGGCACCATGGGAATCTCCTGAGGCGCGCTGGTGTGCGCGAGCTGCAGCAAATTGGGACTATTCGCCAGATTGCCGGGCAAATTGGACTTGATTACGGGACACTGACTCTGCAGCCCGTTCTGGACAGATTTCATGGGGCTCCAGGCCGGCGGGGGCGGATTGTAAACCGGCGGCTGCTTCAGATGCGGACTGAAGTCGCAGGGGTGCTGCTGCTGCTGCTGTTGCTGCTGGGCCGAGAAGCTCCTCGCCAGGGTGGCTCTGGGGGTTTGCTGTTGCGAACTGCCAGCAGCTGCCTCCGAATAATGACTATGACTTAGATTGCTGGCGTCGGGGGCGGACGACGTGCTCGCTGCGAAGTAGTTCCTGAGGATATTCTGTTGGACGGTCTTGTTGTACAGCGTGTTGAACTCGTTCTGGGACAGTTGGTCCAGATTCGGCACCGTCTGCTTCAGCTCCGCGTACACCTGCTCCGACAACACCGCGCTGGCCGGCTTCGGGACCACGCCGCTCGGCTGCACCGGTTGGAGGTCGTTCTGGATCTGCGTGATCCCGTGGCTGGAGGTCGACACAGGAAGACTGGGCAAGTGGCTGGCCTGGCCCGCGGCCGGCGAGGCTTGTGCGTGGTTGATGTTCGGTTTGGGAACGTTGCACTGGCTTCCCAGGTTGCTGGGCGCTATCTGCAGCAGGTTCAGGTTAGCTGGCGGGTTCGAGAGCACCCGGTTCACGTTCGTTTCAACGGGGTACGCGTTCTGCTGGGACACCTGCACCTGCTGCCAGATCTGGCCGACCATCTGGTCAGTCGTAGTCTCCAACATCCTTTGCTCGGGCTGCGCGCGCGGCTGCTGGATGTTCGTCGTCTTCGACTGCCAGGAGTTCTGCACCTTGGTCGGTAGATTGCTAGTCCTGTGGTCGATCTGCGGCGACTTCGGCTTCGTCGACTGAGGCGGCGGTCTCAGAGTCGGGATCGCGTTCTCCTGCAGCTTGTTCACCGAGGAGTACGGCTCGGACGGCCCCGCAACCTCTTGGCTGGCGTTCATGTTTTTACTCGCCTCTTTCTCACCCAGATGCTTCTCCAGCTCCGCGAGAAAGGCTGGGTCCAGTTTCTTTGGGGAAACGGTGCGAGTGTTGATGGACAGCTCGTTCATACTCTGCGCGAGGTCATGGTTGGATTTCGGCTTCGGGGAACTTTCGTTTGGTCCGACAGGCGGCGGTGGAGGTGCATCGGTGCCCTGTTGGGTGCGGGTGGCGACATTCACGTAGGTCTGTTGCGCCTCGCTCTGTAGATCTTCGGGCCAGGTTGACCAGCTTGCCATTGGCGGGCTGGGTTTGTCGATCTCGCTGTAGTGATTCTGTGAATACACGCTGCCCTCGTCCGCATCGACGTTCACGTTCAAATTGATATTATCGTTTCTGTTCTCTTTGTTCAGGTTTATGGAATAGTGGTTGACGTCCGAGCCCGCCTCCGACGTGAAGTAGTTCGCGCTTTCTTGGCTGCCACAGGCGTCCTGGTTCTGCACGTTGCCGTAGGTCTGGGTCTTGAAGTAACGGCTGCTCATATCCGGCGGCACTTGGCTGTAGTACCTCGAGTGGGGCAGCTTCATGAACACAGAGGACGTGTCGAAGGGGTCCGAATAAGCGGGGTCCACGTTCCCAGGGAAGTTCGCGTAGGTCCTAGGGTCGTCCTCCTGCCAGTTGGTCTGCTGTCGCTCCATGTCGTCGATAGGTTCGTCCAGGATGTTGACTACCCGCCGACAGGCAGTGTCTGATTGCGCGACGCTGGTGTTTATCATCTCCTCTGGGGAGAGGTCGATGAGACTACCTTCCTGGCTACCGGCTGTGCCTAAGGAGTTCGACGATTTCACTGGGCTGGCTCGAATGTCGTTTTGGAACTTCGTGTAGTTGAACTGTTTGCGCGACCTGGGCGTGCCGCTGAAGAACTTCTTCTTCAAGTGACTGTCCGCTGCAGTGGCGACGCCCACCACATCAGGGGGTTCCATGGGGTTGCGCAGATAGACGTCGTCTATGTAGATTGGACTTCCCCAGCTTTTCCCGAAGGGCGCACCGTGACCGGTGTGGATAAAGGAGTTCTCTAAGGGCTTGCTTATGTCCTCTGGCTGCCTGCGTCTCATGGGGTCCACCAGGCAGCGAGGGAAGAGCCCGATTTGATAGGTGCGCTGGTTCTGGCCCTTCCACCAGTAGTTCTCAGGCCGGCCATCCAGAATCACTATTTGATCTCCTTGCTCGATGGTCATCCTGTTGGCCTCGTCGAAGCTGTTCACCGCCTTCATCACGGAGGGCACCATCCCCGTCAGCGACGTTTTCAGCGTCGCGAACATGGGCCTTTCCGCCGGGTCTCGGGCCCAGCAGCGCAACATTAATTGGTACATGACTGGCGGCGTTGCTTCCGGCTCGTGCAGACGTTCCCCGTCCTTGTCAATCTTTCTTAAGATCTCCGAACCATTCAACCCAACCCACGGCTCCTCGCCGAACGTCAACATCTCCCACAACGTCACACCGAACATCCAAACGTCGGACGCGTGGCTGAACTGACGGGCCTTCAATGATTCCGGCGCGCACCATGGGAACGGGACTTTCTTGTGCTCCGTCATCACGTAACAGTCCTCTTGTTGGGGCAGGGCCCTCATTAGGCCGAAGTCGCCGATTTTCACCTTGTCAGCGGAACTCAACAACACGTTCCTGCACGCCAGGTCGCGATGCAAGAACCGCTTCGCCTCTAGGTATGCCATCCCTGTGGCAACCTGCAGCGCATAGTTGCACAACGTTAACACCGAAATTCTGCCGCACTGTTTCCGCAGATAGTCCAACAGTGCCCCTAGAGGTGCCAGCTCTGTTACCATCATCATTGGCTGCGACAATACTACGCCGTATAGTCTGCAAATAAACACCGAAACAATTAACCAACTGTCCCAAGAAATACCGTATTACTTTCGCCGTGATACGTACCTGATCAGATTGTGATGATCCAAGGTGTGCATGGATTGGACTTCGGACACAAAATCCTCTATTACACTGGGTTGCGTTAGAGCATCTGCCTTAAGGACCTTCACAGCCACTGGCAGCACTCTACCTGTAGGGGAGGTCCATTCCCCTCTTCTGACAACGCCGAAGCTGCCGTCGCCTAGTTTGGTAGACAGTGTCACATCTTTGTCTTGTATGAGACAGGTCAAACCCGAAGAGCCTTCAACCGGCTGGGAAGACCTCTTGGTAGTTTTGGCACTGCTGCCAGGCCTGATCTTGGTGATCAGGTTCTTCTTCCATTGTGTGTTCCTCTTTTTCTTAACAGCGTCCAGCAGCCTCCTGATACCTGGCTTCCCAAGCCCTATCTTCTCAAGGTCCTCCGGTTGCACATAATCGAAATGGTGCAGTCGGGTGACCTGCATCTCATCCCGTATCCTTGTGAAAAACTGCGACAGCTGGACATCGTGCAACAGTTCCTGCAGCCATTCTGTACCCTCATCCTCTGCCATGTTCAGTTATTCGAATGTTCTACAATTAATAAAATCAATTAACCCGACACATTGCCAATTGCAAACTAAACAAACTAATGAAGGTCCAAGAAAGTAATGCTTGTTCATTTTCAATGAAACTGTTTTATTAAGGCCAGAGAAAGTTGGTTGGAAAATATATATATGTATATATATATATATATATATATTTCAGACAGATATACATGCGGATACAAAGTAAGATACAATTAGTACAATAGTTGCCGTTACAAGATCACTTTGCAAGCACAAAGGACACCGCGGGCACAGTGTTTACCATTGAGCAAGCTCCCCCCTTCCCACCCCCCTCGAACAGGAAATGGAATGTTGAGAAGGGAAGCCGGACACCGTGCATCGCTTTGCAAAAACACAAGCCGGTCAACAGACACTTCTGGCTGTGCATCGGGTGCACCGCCGATGCGTCTACCAGCGGTGTACAATGATCAAGAAAACCAGGAAGAGACTGTACGATCGACGGGAGAGCAGGGGAAGAAAGATCGCGGCGACGTGAAATCGGCTGGTGTCGAAACAAACGTAACAGATTAATTAGCGAGCCAATCGAGGAGCGGCGACGCATCAGCAGAGAGATCGGGGGGGGGGGGCGGCCGAAGGGGTGGCAGGTCGGATAGGGAGGCGGAATACCGTGGCTCCTGGTCACCTTTCAGCGGAAGAAGCAATTAAGCCTCCATTCTGTCGGCGCGAAGAGTCCGTCGGTCCTCGGGATGCGTCGGCGGGACCCAATCGCGGCGAAATCTCAGCGGGATCGTCGCCGTCCGAGCCCGCACATTTTTGCTCTCGCCGTTTTCTTTCGGGCTCGCGAACGTTCACGGACACGGGACGCGCACCAACACAAGGGAACGCTGCGGGGGAAAAAGGCGACCCCGGGGCTGCGTTCTTAGGGCCTCAGAGAAGGGCCGGCAGCCGAAATCCGACGAAATCACGGGAACCTTCTTGTCCAAGCAGCAGCCCCGCGCCGTCGGAGAGACTTTCACCGTACGAGTTTCTCACGCAGCGCATTGTTGTGCAGCTTTAACCTAAAACGTACCGTCCGCTGCCACCGAATCTACGCACGTATATAGAGCCGCTCTCACCGAACAAATCACCGTCAGCCCAACGACAGCGTCCGCGACGGCGTTCGTTCTCGCATCGTGCGACGGCCCCCTAAAACCGTGGCCCGCCCCCCTTTTTTTTCGCCTATTTACGAAATCTGTCCGTACGCCAGCACACTGCGCCTCGAGTGCAAACAAAAAAGCCCAGCCGCACGGTGGAACACTATTTTGCTACTGCCACGGACCATGCACGGATGCAGCTGAACTGAACGGCCCTGGCCGAGATGGCGCCATCTTGCATCGTTGCAGAAATCGATGCGAAACCTACGAGCCCGAATTTCTCTTTTGTCGCGGCCTTTCTTTCCGCGATTCTTATTGATTTCGAATCGCCGTTTCGCGCTGGCTATTTCGGCCGCCCTCCGATGCGACAAAAAACGGCCGCAAGCTGTTCCTGCGACGATTTCCGCAGCCGGCCGTGACATTCCAGATGCTGCGGCTCTATAGATCGGGGCGACCGTTGCTGCGCGCGGGAATATTTGAATCGGAGATGCTGCGTTTTCGCGGAACCTCGTTAAAAATGGCCGTTTCGTTGAACGAAACTTCAGCCAATGAATTATAGTGCGATAAATTAGAATAAACGTTTTCTTATTTTAATAGCTCTATAAATGTTTGCTACAAAAGAAAAGTCTACTGTCCATAATATTTTAATTTAAATTTATTCTTTATTCTTTGAAGTTCGTTTAATTTTTATATAATATTATATAATATATTTAAGATGTCTTAGCAATTGGATGCACGATGTAAGGAAAATCCTCCAAGTTTAACGTTAATTTTTATTGCTGATTATTTAAGTGATTGCAGATCGTCGATGCGCGTAAATAGAGGACCACTTTTCTCCGTGGCTATGCTATAATAAGCGAGGAAATGGATGAAGGATTCTAACACGAAATTTATCAACGATTCCCCTTGCGTTTTGACCGCACGTTTTCCGTCGGGTTCCGGTATGGCATGTTGGCCGCACAAGAGAACAATAATTCTACGTTTGACCGCGAGCCCGGTCGCATGGTATCCGAATGGCGACGGCCATAATTATGAACTTGATAATTATGATTATTGTGTGTCACCCATATTCCGCGGCGCAGCCTTCCTCTCTCGCATTTTAATGCCCGGCGTGTACAACCGTCTTTTGTGGCCTGTAATGTATTCAGCGCGCGTTCCATCGAGACATCGTTGCGTCACTCTGTTCAATAATGCAGAAAAGTGTTGCAAATTCGATTGTTGCAATTGTATCAGGGTCGCACGTTCCAATGCATTTTTCGTTTACTTTTAAAGAAACTTATCGATTCCTGATTAGACATATAATATATATATATATATATGTAAACATATGTGACATATATATATGTATATGTAAAATGAAAAATGTATATGTCAAGGTTATGTCAACGTGTGGTATGTGTGTGTGTGTGTGTGTGTGTGTAAATGAAAATAAATTTGTATTTGGCGGTGACCGAAATGACGTAGGTTTCTGGTGGAAGGGGGGAGGGGGAGCGTTTCGTCCGGGACCCGCTAGAGGACACATCGGTAAGGCTATTTTAGCGGGCCCTTGCCTTAGACGTTGGTATGTCGGAAGGACGGACGAAGTTTGTATATATACGAACCGAGGCGGATCGGTCACTTGCGGGAAAGGAGAATCCATCTGCTGGCGAGTCTGGAGGTAGCCGCCGCATTGTATTATCGTTGTTTCCTTTTCTATTGTCGCGTTGTCGTTATCATTATTATTATTATCACTATTATTATGTTATCGAGCCCTATGCGTGACTTCTCAAGATTACGATAATGACGCGAATCCACAATGACGGCGCATGCTTGATATCGACTTTGTAGCAGCAACAGCCTCGTGAAACGCAGTCACAGCCGCAGCAGCAACAGCAACAGAGAATGGGGATAGATGGGATGGGGAACAGAGACAGTCCTGATGGTAAGACATAACAGAAAATATTTAAAACACCGATCGCAAAACTGAGAATGTAGGCTCGAATAAATTCTTGGAAAATCCGACGTTGAACCACCGCCGTTGAACATCGTAAATTCATCGATTTGAAAATGATCTTCTATGTTGTAACGCTATCATCATTTTCGTGCTCGAAATTCGATGCTGTTCAAATTTTCGCTCTCAAGTATTTCTTCGTGCATCGCAAGTGGCTCGGTTAATTTTCGAAATAAAATTTCGTTGGGATTTTTATCTTTATTTGTATTTTTATTTTTATTCTGGCACCCCTTCGGCGAGAACCCTTTGTAGCGTGCAGTCACCGCTAGAGATTGGCAATCCCGTCGCAGAAAGGATACGTGACAGACATTGTCCAGGGCCTGCGACACGGGAAATGTTCAAAAATCGTGTTACCTGCCCGACAAAAAAAGGAAGCACGCGAAAGAGAAAGAAAAGTGGGCTGTCGTTCCGTGGTCGCGCTAAGGGGCGCAGCCGCGCTGAAATACCCTCGGTCCGGCATTGACCGTCGCTCGCGATTTTCCGGATTTTCCACGTCAACGGGGCACAATAAACAATTCATCCCGGATCATGCGATTTTCATAGAAAATCCCGAAAACGCGCGACGCCCCTGTCCAATTTTCCACCGGCGAGACCCCGCTTTTGCTAAAACACAGCATGCTACGCGCCGCTCATAGATTCGCACGACACTCCGACCACTGCAAATCAATCAGCAAGTTCCTTTTTCCATTTCGAAATATTTGTTAAAAAATTGATTCTTCGATGGAAAGTAAAATCGTGACTTTTTGCGAAATTGTTGACTCGAAATAATGGTAAAATCGCAACGTATATTCTCTTCCGTGCCCTGACGGATTTGTTGAAAAATAAACTTGTCATTTAAAATTGTAATTTTCATAGACTCGAAATAAAAAAATGAGATAATATCGACAGAAAATTGTATTCTGTATATGAATGCGTTCATTACGAATTAAAGTTGCACCCGTTGGAGAGCGAATAATTGATTCGAAGCAACAATAAAATACCAAGAGTTAACAAGGGTTGTGCAATATTGTTTATTTCGTTGTTACCGATCTCCCGATATTATAAATAATGAAACTGAATTGCGATTACAATGTTTGACCGTTCCGCCCGGTTTTTAATAAACTTGCCCGCTTTGTGTTAATTGTTTGCTCTGTTAATCGAGGGAGGTTCAAGTGGAGCGTTTGTTTGAACGTGAGGCGTGTCACCGGAAACGTTGACGCCGCTTGTTGCATCTATGACGCCGCGTAAACAATTGACGGCNATATATATATATATATGTAAACATATGTGACATATATATATGTATATGTAAAATGAAAAATGTATATGTCAAGGTTATGTCAACGTGTGGTATGTGTGTGTGTGTGTGTGTGTGTGTAAATGAAAATAAATTTGTATTTGGCGGTGACCGAAATGACGTAGGTTTCTGGTGGAAGGGGGGAGGGGGAGCGTTTCGTCCGGGACCCGCTAGAGGACACATCGGTAAGGCTATTTTAGCGGGCCCTTGCCTTAGACGTTGGTATGTCGGAAGGACGGACGAAGTTTGTATATATACGAACCGAGGCGGATCGGTCACTTGCGGGAAAGGAGAATCCATCTGCTGGCGAGTCTGGAGGTAGCCGCCGCATTGTATTATCGTTGTTTCCTTTTCTATTGTCGCGTTGTCGTTATCATTATTATTATTATCACTATTATTATGTTATCGAGCCCTATGCGTGACTTCTCAAGATTACGATAATGACGCGAATCCACAATGACGGCGCATGCTTGATATCGACTTTGTAGCAGCAACAGCCTCGTGAAACGCAGTCACAGCCGCAGCAGCAACAGCAACAGAGAATGGGGATAGATGGGATGGGGAACAGAGACAGTCCTGATGGTAAGACATAACAGAAAATATTTAAAACACCGATCGCAAAACTGAGAATGTAGGCTCGAATAAATTCTTGGAAAATCCGACGTTGAACCACCGCCGTTGAACATCGTAAATTCATCGATTTGAAAATGATCTTCTATGTTGTAACGCTATCATCATTTTCGTGCTCGAAATTCGATGCTGTTCAAATTTTCGCTCTCAAGTATTTCTTCGTGCATCGCAAGTGGCTCGGTTAATTTTCGAAATAAAATTTCGTTGGGATTTTTATCTTTATTTGTATTTTTATTTTTATTCTGGCACCCCTTCGGCGAGAACCCTTTGTAGCGTGCAGTCACCGCTAGAGATTGGCAATCCCGTCGCAGAAAGGATACGTGACAGACATTGTCCAGGGCCTGCGACACGGGAAATGTTCAAAAATCGTGTTACCTGCCCGACAAAAAAAGGAAGCACGCGAAAGAGAAAGAAAAGTGGGCTGTCGTTCCGTGGTCGCGCTAAGGGGCGCAGCCGCGCTGAAATACCCTCGGTCCGGCATTGACCGTCGCTCGCGATTTTCCGGATTTTCCACGTCAACGGGGCACAATAAACAATTCATCCCGGATCATGCGATTTTCATAGAAAATCCCGAAAACGCGCGACGCCCCTGTCCAATTTTCCACCGGCGAGACCCCGCTTTTGCTAAAACACAGCATGCTACGCGCCGCTCATAGATTCGCACGACACTCCGACCACTGCAAATCAATCAGCAAGTTCCTTTTTCCATTTCGAAATATTTGTTAAAAAATTGATTCTTCGATGGAAAGTAAAATCGTGACTTTTTGCGAAATTGTTGACTCGAAATAATGGTAAAATCGCAACGTATATTCTCTTCCGTGCCCTGACGGATTTGTTGAAAAATAAACTTGTCATTTAAAATTGTAATTTTCATAGACTCGAAATAAAAAAATGAGATAATATCGACAGAAAATTGTATTCTGTATATGAATGCGTTCATTACGAATTAAAGTTGCACCCGTTGGAGAGCGAATAATTGATTCGAAGCAACAATAAAATACCAAGAGTTAACAAGGGTTGTGCAATATTGTTTATTTCGTTGTTACCGATCTCCCGATATTATAAATAATGAAACTGAATTGCGATTACAATGTTTGACCGTTCCGCCCGGTTTTTAATAAACTTGCCCGCTTTGTGTTAATTGTTTGCTCTGTTAATCGAGGGAGGTTCAAGTGGAGCGTTTGTTTGAACGTGAGGCGTGTCACCGGAAACGTTGACGCCGCTTGTTGCATCTATGACGCCGCGTAAACAATTGACGGCCGCTCGAGGGGGTTGGCTTTGTCCGCGTCGCCCTATTGTCACCCTTTCGCTCCCTTTTCCACGTACATTTCAACGCGGAGGAATTTACAAATATATTTCGACTGACCGGAACGATACACTCGACAGTGATTCAATGACAAAATTGGAGATTCGCAACCCTTCCGTATACATTTTTATATATCTTTATATATTACACATTTATTGTATATTTGTATAATTATATAATATACTAAATAAGTATATAGTTATATAATAAATATTTATATAATTACATAATAAATATTTGTATATTAAACTGCTGAGAACAAGTTAAAATAAAATAATCGAGGGTTGTGAACTTTTTCACAAAAAATGTTCAACCCTCGATTATTTTATCTCAATTTATTCCCAGCAGTATCAACTCGTTACACTTGTCGCACTATATTGTATCACGTAGCACTTTCCTCGCGCATTGTTTGCTGCACCCTCGTTCCGCTTGCTTCTGCAAAGTGCATTGTAAATATCCAATCGTAACGTTGCACGCGGAACGCCGCTTGTTGCATCTGTTACGATCGTCCCGGAATTGTTGTAGTGTTTGTTCAACGCGTTAAAGGTTGACACGCGTGATTTTATTAGACAATCGAGTGCAACGGATTTTTATGTCGGGGTTAGTTTCTGGGGGTTGCGATTTTTGCACGGGGGTTTGAACGATTGTTCGCCGGAAAATTGTACGCAAGAAGCGTTTACGATCCCCTGAGATCCACTGTCGTGGCAGAAAATATGGCGGCTGGAGGGGCGAGGGATGGTCAGCGGAGGGTTGAAAGGATTTAACAGTCGAACGACCCCCTTAGCCAGGTAGAACGGTGCTAAAGAAACGTGAATATAATTAGTCGGATGCGTCGCGACTGATAAAATCTGTTCTCGTTCGAAACAATTCATTTTCCATCGATTCAGCTCCGTTCGCGTTAAATCACAGATCTACCAAAATCTGCTCGAAACGATTACTCGAATCAGTATTACGAATTTACGACCGCGATTCGTGAATACGTTCGAATCGATTGGTACGCGAATTATCCGAAATCGATTTTTTCGTTATGTAAACGGTCTTTCGTAGCGAAACTGAATGTATATTCCGAAATATATTCGCAATTTCTGTACAGATCGAACCGCGACAATTTTATTATTGCTCGCAATCTGTGGCGCAATGCAACCCTTAAAATAACCACGTTGTATTACGAGAATTGATGTAAAATAGAGGTATTAATAGAAAATCCGAGATACACCGATCGATACCGGGGACTGATAGAAAATATTTTCAACTTCCCATCGACTCTCTGAAACTCTTCGTAGCAAATAGGGACCCTTCCCCCGCTCCTCCGTAATCGCGGCAAATTAAAAGTCAGAACGAACTATTTTCTGCGACGAGTTTGCAAAATCGGTAGATAAAAATGTATGTCACCAATATGCAATTAAATAATTCGATACATTGTTCACAGTGTACCGTTGTTTGGTCAGGAAAGCGGCGCATTCCCGAATAGAGAATCGAGAAAAATGACCAGGGCGAGGGAAGGGGGTTGGTACGTCGAGGAGGGTGAATTTTTGGTGCAAATAGACGACGACGGTGGTGCAGGTATCCTTTTCGTAAACAAACCGTGCCACCCCAGGTAAGATGACTCTGTCAACCCTTCGGGCAGTCGCTTAATTTATTAATACGTTTATTTATTCATTTATAATACAATATTATTAACAATAAGGTCGTGTTAAGGATGAGGATCTATCAAGAATAACAATCTATTAATAATAACAATGTATTAATACATTGCTATTAACAATATATAAATATAATAACAGTCTAATAACAGTCTATTAAGAATAACAATCTATTAAGGATAACAATCTATTAAGAATAACAACCCGTTAACAGTTTGCGATTTGAGACGTGAATTTTGTTCAAAATTTTATTTGTTCAACAATCTATTAAGGATAACAATTTACTAAAAATAACAATCTATTAACAACAACAACCCATTAACATTTTGTGATTTGAGACGTGAATTTTGTTCACAGTTTTATCTGTTCAACAATCTCTTAAGCATAACAATCCATTAAGAATAACAATCCGTTAACAGTTCGTGATCTGTCGACAATAATAATCCGCTAACAATAAACGATCTATTAACAACAACAATGTAGTAAACTGTAACGATCGAGCAACTATAACAATCCACTAGCAATAACGATCTATTAGCGATAACGACTGACAAGCGGCCCGCAATTTGTTTACCGCGAGATTAAGACGTACAGTCGGAGCTCTCGTTTAAAAAATGGATCAAATAAAATTCGAATGCTGCGTGAGATAAATTGCTGGCCTCCCCGGGGGAACGAGGAGCAAAGTGGTTGATGGTGCGGCGTGCGCGTCGAATCGCGTGTGATCGGTGCAACGGTGCGGTGCAACGTAGAGACAATGCACCACCTGTCAGCCCCCTCCCGTTCCTCGTGAGTAGTAAACAAAATCGAGGGTTGCCCGAGGGTGAGGAAGGCGGAAGTGGAGGGGGAAGGAACACCGGAGGTGGCGCGAGTCTGCGAGGTGTCCGTGGCACTCGTCAGTAGCACCGCGGTCACAGATCCTTTCGGAGCTGAGAACCAGATCTTCCGCGGCACTCCGCCTTGGCCCATACACCCAGAGCAACGCGTGACGTACCCGTTCCGAGAGCCCGAAGAGAGGACCGAATCTGTTCGGAAAATCAGCCGGATCCATCTCGTGCCGAGCGACCGAAAAATCGGGCGAGCTGTCATCGATGACAGAGGACAAGTAGTGACCGATGACCGTCAGTCGACTACTCGTTCGCGTGTGAGAGACCGCCGTTCCCCATTGATCCGTGTGCATCAGGACCGTCTTGATCGCGAGCAGCCGCGATGTCAACGTTACAACGGTCGTTGACACAGCTCCCGGGTTGAGAATCGGACGTTTCGCCGTCGCTCCAGTTCAGGTAGAAGACCCTGGGGCCGTGAGGATGAAGCAGGAGGGCAACAACGGATACATCAGGGCCACCGTCATCAACGAGCAGACCGGTGCCCTACCTGGACCAAGCTTCGAGACACCTGCCGCTAATGCCATTCAGGTAGGGAAAACCCTTTTCTTGTAGGCAGCCGAGGATCAGCTGGGCCAGGGTGTCGTGTGCCGGGGTTCTTGGTCCTGGCGGATGCTGACGGCTTCGATAGATTGTAGACGTGTTGGTGCTTTTGGTAGATTCGACGCGAGAGCGAATGTCTCTGATCTCTGATTCTTTTTTTTTTTTATTGATTATTGGAACTATAATTTTCAATCATTTCCAATTATTTGGAGCGATTTTGGTAGGTCAAGTGTGAGATGAAAGTTCTATGGGAAGACACTGATGTCTGTTTGCAAACAACATTTGGGTGGCACTTTTGATAGATTAGATGCAAAATGGGACATATCCACGGTAAAACATTATTATCTATTTGGAACAAAATGCAGGCAGTACCTTTGACAGATAAAATGTAGGATTGGACATCTATCCCAAGATATTGACATCCGTCTGGACCTAATACCAGGTGGTACTTTTGATATATTAAGTACGAGATTAAGTACAAGAATAGGTTCGAGATGAAGTGTAAAAATAGATAGAAGATTAAGTATAGAATAGATTAAGGATTAAGTAAAAGAATAGGTACAAGATTAAGTGCATAATTAGGTACAATATTAGGTTCACCATTAAGTACAAGATTAAGTACAAGATTAGTACAAGTACATCATTAAGTACAACATTAAGTACAAGATTAAATACAAGATCAAGCACAAGAATAGGTTCGAGATCAAGTATAAGAATAGGTAGAAGATTAAGTATAAGAATTGATTAAGGATTAAGTAAGAAGATAGGTTCAAGAGATTAAGTGCAAAATTAAGTGCTCGATTAGGTACAACATTTTGTTCACCATTAAGTATAAGATCAAGTTCATCATTAAGTACAAGGTTGAATACATGATTAAAGTACAAGATTAAATACAATATTAAGTACAACAATAAGTACAACATTAAGTACAGCATTAAGCACAACATGAAGCACAACATTAAGCAAAGCATTAAGTACAAGTGTAAATGCCAGATGCAGATTCAATCGTATCGATTTAAGTCCGAACATCCAATCCATCTAGTTCTCAGACCACAGTGACACCCCTAATCTATCTTCCGTACAATTCCCGATCCTCCTGAAAGATTCGCACCGTATCCATCCATGTTCCACGAGGTCGCCGAACCGCCCGGCTCGAAAAACGACGGCCGCCTGATTGCAGGTGACCTACGTGCCCCATGGCAACACCACCACGGTGACGGACCTCCATCATTCTGGTAACGACCGAAGGCCGATAGCGAGGGCCGCGTCGATCACGCGGCGATGGAGAGAGCCGGTGAACAGGCGGCAATTGCTGCTCGTGCTGACCATCACGCTCTTAACCACTTCCATCTTCATTGTGCTGCTGCGGGCGGCGCTGTACACGAGCCACGAGTGCGCTCAGGAGGCCCGTAAGTTGAATTAACCCTAAACGGTGGCCGGTTACCGGCGATCCGGTTTAATTGAGCGGCGGACGATTGCCTCGCGCGTCTTCGGACGCCGGTTAGAGAGAGAGAGAGAGGGAGAGAGAGAGAGAGAGAGAGAGAGAGAGAGAGAGAGAGAGAGAGAGAGGGGTGTGGG